GTATTCTTTAGTCTTAATTTAATATATTCTCTGCCTTGTTTCCCTCTTTTTTAACTGTATTATTTATATATTTTTCCTACCGGCAAAGCCAATCGTTGAGCTTTCCTTTCTTGGCCTTTTCTTTTTTTAGTCAATAATTTCGTTGCATATTCTAAGGCGCTCATTTGCATGTGTGTGTGTGTGTGTTTGGGCGTCTACGTGTGTAAGTGTGTGTGTGTGCTTAAAGGAAACTTTTCCCTGCGTCGTTTGCAGTTTTTTTTTCTCTCTCATTTTAGTGGTTGGGGGGAAAAGTAAGAGGAGCAGCAGCAGGAGGCTGGCAGCTCATTAAAATTGCACAACACTTTGATTTGCATAAGCCGAAAAAATACAGAAAAAAAATGAAGACAGGAAATGGAAAAAGGGAAAGTTTTCCCCAGCTTTTTCCCCGCGATAACCCCCCCGCAAAGTCATTATCATTTGCCAGCGATGTTGGCATTATGAGATTGAAATATCGCCAACCAACTCGTGTGACCCATTCAATGTCGCTTATCCTCTGCCAGAAAAAAAAAAAAGAAGGGAATAACCGAGGCATGGGGGAAAATTCTGGGTGACATGGAAAATTCTCATGGTAAGTGAAGCCAGGGGAGGAGTGAAAAGCGAGCAGCGAGGAAATTCAAAGCTGATTGCATCCACTGAGCTGTAATAGTATTGAATAAAGCCGAGGGAGCTGGCTGAATGCTTAGACATTTTCCTTTTCATTTTTTTTTACTTGCCGCTGCGACAACATTAATGTTCATTGCATTTTCAAATTTTTCTTTTCCTCAGGATTTTTAAATTGCAATCAAGCTGGGAATTCGATTTATGTGTGAATGTGTGCTAATATGGAGTTTTGATTTGGACTTTGAATTTAATAAAATATACTTAAATATGCAAACTCAGATTATACATTATTTTATAAAGAAAATAAATGAAATAAAATACAATACAATATATTTAATAAAGTATTGAAAATAATAATAATATATACATAATAATTATAATAAATAATATCTTCAAGTCCATGAAGATAACCAATTATAAAATCCATTGACAGGATTGAAAATATACTTTAAATACTAATAAAAATAAGTACTAAAATACTTAAAATTACTGGTAATAATTTGCAATCCTAAAAATACTGTAAGGTTTTTTTTTAATTTATTAAATACTCTCTCTTTATTCATAATTTCTTTTAACAACAAATTAATAATTTTTAATATAAAATCCCTCAACAATATAAACCTTCAAGATAAATATAAACAGGGGACAAGAGATTTTTTAAAAATTTCCTCGGATGTTTTCCAAAAAAAAAAAAAAAAAAAAAAATGTGTTCCTTCCATTTCCGAATGTTTCCGCCTTCGGGGAAAATTCGCTGAGCTCAGCACAACGAACACACACTCCCCTTGACTGAAAAGTATTTGGTTTATTTATATATTTTTTATTTTCTTTCTTGTGTTGTTTTTACTGATGCTGCCTCTGCCTCTGTAACTGGAAGCCAAAAACGCCTAAAACATATTTGATAATTGAATTTGTAATACATTTTGTTCGCTGTGCTTTGAGGTCAACGAGGGGTGTGGGCGAAGTGTATGGATGCCTTTGTGTTGTTCTTGGTTGTTAGGGATAATTTCCTTGCCAAGGATAAGGGAAGTGAAGTGACGCATTGAATTAGCTTTCATTGTATTTTATTTGACAACAGAAAATAACGTTAAATAAATACAAAAGGACACACACAGGGAGAGGCGCAGCTGGCATTGTTTTTCTGCTTGCTTACATGACTTGTGGGCACAAAAAAAGAAAAAAGAAATGTAAAAAAAGGAGAGAGAAAAAAGATACTAAAGCTGAAAAGAAAATGTCACACAAATTTTCATTTGATTTATTTGCCAGTTTTCTTTTCAATCCACACCCACACCCACACACACACACCAATACAATACCCAGTTTTTGGCAATTTTCAGCAAATCAAATCAAATCTGCAAGCCCAACAAATGTTGCATACTTTTCAGGGCAGATTACGTACAGTGCGTGCCATTGATGTAAAAGCCTAAATTTTGGGTAGGTTTTAACACAAATTAAAGTTCACATTCAATCGAATTTGTTGGAAAACTGCATAGATTTTTTTTGAACGGGTTTTTTGCTTTATTGATTGTTGAACTGTTTTCTTGGAGTGCATAGGGATTAACTTGTTGGTTTTTTGATTGGAACAAAGTCCCCTAAAACATATGTAGCGGAAAATTCATGCTGCTTTTTTTTTATGCAGAGTGAATAAAATGTAGAAAGAAATATAAATATTGTGGTACATTTTATATTATTTTAGCAGGGTATTATAATTTAAGTCAGAAGCTTCAAACATAGTGAAGGGGTCATTTCCGACCCTATAAATCATATATATTCTTGATCAGCATCACCAGCCGAATCGATCTAGCCATCTTTGACAGAAAAATAAAATTTTTATTTTTTCAACGTTTTTATATCATTAAAATTGCACAAAAAAAACCATTACAAAAATATTTTTTTTAAATTTTTAACTAAGTTTGCAGATTTGTTAACCTACTAAAAACTAAGATGGGAAATCTTTCCGAATTAAAATTACTGTTTTTTTGGCTGAGTTATGAGTTTTTTAAGTTTTGATTTGTCTCAAAAAATTGTCAAATAAAGTTATCAATAAATATAAATTCAAAGAATGAACAATGAATGAAGAACTTTAAGAAAGTATTCTATATTGTTCCATAAATTACTATAAGTAGTAAAAGCCTCAAAAAAGGTGTTCAAAATTATTCTAAAAAAATGTTATATTGTAAAAAACAAATTAACATTAATTTTGGCACCTAAGAATAATCATTTGATATTTTTAAACTTTTTTTTTTTTAATGATTTCTATATTTTATGTTTCAGGGATGCTGATAAAATTAAATATTATTTTGATAAATCAATAAATAACTTTGTACTTGTACACATTATATCTTTATAATTACGAGTTAATCAAACATTTCTCTTTGTAATTAAACCATATGCTCTCTCCCTCTCTCTCTCTCTCTCTTTCTTTCTCTTAAATTGTTTATATTTTCCTTAGTGCCTTTATCCTTAGCTTATATCCCTGCTTGCTGTTGGCTAAGCTCGTTATAATTAACCAATCAATGCGAGAAGAGGCGACACAAACAACGGAAATGCTGAGATAAAGTCAAAGTCCCCGGGAGATCCTGCTCGGGGATCCTTCCCTCTATCTCTATCTCTCTCCATCTCCCTACTCTTCCTCTTTCCTCTCTTTTTTTCCGCCTTCAGCATGTCAGAGTGTGTGTGAAAAAAGTTACTTGGGCAACGCTGATTTATTTACTGAAAACAAAAGAAAGACCAAAACAACAAAAGAAACAAAAAGATGAAGATGAGACGACGACCGAGTAATAATAATGCGTAATAATGAAGAGAGGGGAGGGGAGGGGTGATGCTGAGAGAGGAAGGACACAGATTCCCGGGAGGGACAACAGGGACAAAAGGCAAAACGGAAGTGACCGGGACGAAGGCAAAAGGAAGACGAAGAAGTCGAGGAGAAACTTCCCAGGTAATTATGGTCTAAAAGCGCAATATTTTTTTCTCCCACTTCTATGTATTTTTTTTTCTCCCGGAGGCACACATAATATACACAAAGAGAAAAAGGGGGAAAAGCAACATTAGTTTTGGCTAAAATAAATAAAAATTTAAATGAAATTTGGCCAAAAATTATGAATGCTTAGGAAAATGTCTAAAATGATGTCTTGAGTTATTAGAAAATAGTTTTAGGAACCTATAAAAAATAAAATTTAATTGAATACTAAATTAAAATTTAAAAAACACTGTTTTTAATACTCTGTTAATAATTATAGCAAGGTTTAATATTTTTAAATTTAAGGTAAAGTTAGTTAAATAAAATGGAATGTATATGCTTTCTTCTCTTTTCAAAAACTTTTTATTCATATTATATGTATACATATTTTTGTAAATTTTTTTTTTCACCACATTTTTCTTCAGTGCATATATTGCATATATATTTGAGTACTTTCACCGTTTGTTTATTGACACACGCACAAGTTGGCCGCTGTTTCTACTTAATGTAATTAGAGTAAATTGCTTTTTAAGTGCGTCAAAGCAGAAAAGGCAACAACAAGAAGATGCTGGCAAAGGACCAAACCATATAGAGCAAATAAACAGCATTCAAGGAGAAATGAAATATATATATACACCCCCAGATATATATGTATATGAAGCAGATATAGATGAAGATGAAAGATGATGGGGCAAAGTTTGGCTCAACAAAAGTTGCATAAAAAGAGACTATTATGTGGGTTAAACTTACGCAACACTTCAGTCACGAAATTGTCATTTTTCCCATTTATGAATATGAGATTTGTATAAAAAGCCCATCCATAAAAATCATATATTCCCGGACTATTTTGTTAAGCACAACGAAATAACAAATAAAAACAAAACAAAGAATAGAAAAAGATTTGTGACATTTATTATGGACATAAATCTGTCTCAAATGTTGCCCTTATATCATATATATTTTTTTTTGTTGGTTAATAATTCAGTAAAATGTTATGCATTTTTCTAGAAATTTATTTCTATAAATCATATCTTTTATATTTTATGACTTACTAGGTTTCTTTTTCTACGATTCGAACCATTTTTAAACAATTTAAATGTGCATTTATTGTAGAAATTGCTCTTAAAATTCTCAAGTACAAATTTGCTTGATCTCAGAAAATAACATTTTGTACTAAAACTGATAAAAAGCTATCAAATTTCCCGAAAAATGTGTCTTCATTATTACTTTTAATAAATGGAAATAGAATTAACTTTCATAAATCAACCTTACTTACAAATTTTTGCACTTTATCTTCATAAGTACAAATTTATCAACAAAATCTTGTATGCTTTCTTTACAAAAATCAAAGTAGTTGTTTGAAAATGAAAATTTTGCAACATTTAATACACGAAGTAAGCTTTGAGTTAGTCAACAGTGTCATGTCGATTTTGTAACATCATAACTTTTGTAGTTCCCATCTGTAGGAGCAAAACAATATTAGGTACAATTCCATATAGACAGAAATAAGAAGTTTACAGAAAACCAAGTATTAGTAACTGCGACAAATCACAAACATGACTGACGAAGGAATAACAAATATAGTTGAAGGCAGCGATATCTTAACTGGAGATGATGATGATCATCATCAGCATCACACTGTGGCAGTTGTGGCAATTGTACCAAAACCAATTGCAACAGATGCTGCAAATACCGAAACAATGGCCATGATAATGACCAATGATGAAAATGAACCGGAACGTTGCTGCTGGATATGCTTTGCCACCGAGGATGAGGATAATCATTTGGCGGCTTGGTTAAATCCATGCCAGTGCCGTGGCACCACCAAATGGGTACATCAGAGTTGCCTCTATCGTTGGATCGATGAGAAGATGAATAGTAATCAGGAATCTGGAATTCATACAGTATCCTGTCCACAATGCAAAACCGAATATATTATTGTATATCCAAGGATTGGACATTTGGGTATGGCTTTGGAGGCTCTAGATATAGTGATTTCGGGTATGTGTTCATTATTAACATCTGGAATCATTGTGTGTTGGCTCTATTGGACAGCCGTGACATTCGGTGCTGTGACATTCCTACAAGTTGTGGGACATGATAATGGCATGGCCATAATGCAATCAAGTGATCCAATATTACTATTGATTGGATTACCCATTATACCGATTGGATTGATCGTAAGTCGTTTGATTCGCTGGGATGATGCTATACTCCATGTGATCCAGGGACGCCGAACGATGGTGAGTAATACTAATATATCTATATACATTTATATTATAATGATTTATAAACAGGCAGATAATAACGAACAACAGGATGAGAATGGCTATCTAAGTTATCGCGATCCCCCATTGGTATCCGAATCCACATCAGTTGCTCGCATTTTCTGCGGTGCCCTTTTACTGCCCACCATCTCATCCATTGTGGGACGCATTCTCTTTGACTCGGTGAAGAATACATTTCATCGCACTTTGCTCGGCGGTATTACATTTATCACGGCCAAGGGTATACTTAAGATATATCTACGGCATCGGCAATATGCCAGTCGCAGAAATCGTCATGTTGTGGATTACACTGAGGAGAACCTACGCAATCAAAGAGAACAAAATAGTAACTAGAACGGAAATGAGAATGAGAATGAGATCGACAAAGATAATGACTACAATCCTGATGATGATTATGGTAAAGCTGTTTAAGTGGAGGATCAACGATCATCAGAAGGAAGTTAATGGAAGAGGACTATCTTATCAGAGTTTATAAGCTAATTTTTTTCTACCAATAATTTCGTCAACTTCAACTTTATTCACATATGCAAATATGCAAACATTTCGGGCATACAACAGTCCCACAACTGGCAATCAAAATTCTTTTCCCAATGAGGCTTTATATGCAACAAAATTTATAGTTTTGCAAAATCTTTAAGTACAAATATGTATTACAAATAAAGACATGTCCTCACTTTAGAATTTCATAAAATGTTTAAATCAAGGGAAGGTCTTAGAGAGTATTTTTTATAACCAAAAGAGAGATTCTTATACAACATTTTCATCAAAAATGAGAAGAGATTTGTCTTTAGATAAACTCTGATATGGTTTTTTTTTAAATAGAAACTCTTTAAAGTTCTACTCTTTTAATTTTAAGAGTAACAAATCATAAATTGAGGTATTTTTTTGTAAATTACAAACTTAAACTCTCTCCTTAAACAGCAGCTACTTGGGCGCATAATTGGCAAACTCTAGACAACAACGAGCTGGCAAACAACCAAACAACCAAACAACCAAACAACCAAACACACAAACACACACACACACAACGAGAGAGAGAGGGGGAAAACAATGCCCAACACTTGCAGCACTCAAAACTATGTCGAGCGCCACAAACTATGCTACAAATTGCTACAAAGTTTTGCAACAGTTAGCGGACATCTTCAACAGACTTTTGGTGTGCAATTAATAATTAATAAAACTCTCTGTTGTATAAATTAAGAGAGCCAAAAAAAAAAAGTATGAAAAAAACCAAAACAAAACTTTGTAGAAAATCAAAGAGAAAAGTTGTAATGAAATCTAAAGCTTAATAAGGTATCTTTTCTCACCTGTCTGACAGGTTTAAGGAAATTTTTGAAGGTTTTATTAAAAGCTTTTTAAGAGATTATTACTTTTAGGGATTTCTAGATATAGCATTTAGCAGCTTTTGTAGCTGGCAGTAATTTGTTTTAGTTTTAATTAATTTGGTTTTTAGGAAAAAAGGGTGAAACAAATATTATTATGTCCTACAACTTTTGGCAATCACTAAAATAGTTAAATATAATTACTATTAATTTAATGCAGAAATGTAAAACTTTAATGCACATAGCTGGGGCTTCTTCAACTATTCCACACCATAAAACCGGATAAATGCAACACTTTTTCTATATATATATATATACATATAGCTCTATACAAAATAGAGGGGGGGGGGAAAAAATAAAAATTACAAAAGGTTGCAAAAATAAAAAGAGAAGGTAAAACCACAACAATGTTGAAGCGTTGGGGCAACTAACAGGATACTGGACAAAGGATCCAGGCGTAAATAAGTTGGCCAGCAAAGGGTTAACAAGCCACCGCCCATCCGCATAGACACGCCCCCTCCCCCGCCCCCTCCTTCAAAGGGCAACCAAACGCTGTTAAAATGCAGCTTAGCAATTAATTACGCATCTCTGTGCACGCGAAAAAGAGGCAAAAGTTCAAGAGTTGCCCTTAGATTATCATCAGGAATGACACAAAAAAAAAAATAAATAAATATATATATATTAATTTAAATATATAATGAAACAAAGTGCAAAAAGCAGGCTCAAAGTTTAGTTAACTGATTGTTGATGGCACAAGAGTATATATAGTTGCTTTCAAAGGTTATCTTTAATTAAGGATTATACAAGACCCCTAATGGTGAAAAAAGTATAACAATTTATAAATTAAAAGTTAAAAGTTATATTTTTAAATAGTTCATAAATTCATTATATTAATTAGCATTTAATTAAGCTCTTTAATTAAATACCCCAGTTTTTGATAGTTTTTCGATATTTATAATTTAAAATCTCAAGTAAAATCGATATTAATGCTTTTATATCGATAACATATTGTAATAATATATAATTAAAAGGCTTTCTTCCTCTAAATGTACCTATAAATATTTCTTAAAGATTACCCCATAACTATTTATTTTTCAACACAAATCCCTTACAATATCTAACCCAAATTTAGCTTCCATTTTTTCGATATTGTCTCCTTTTTAAACATTAATTTGTATATTAATATATTCGATATAATCACCCCATCTCTAGTAGCATCTTTCCATGAACCCCCTTGGCTGAAAAATTGTTTGTTTACTTTCCAATTCTTTCTGTCGCAACCGCAGAACGCGGCGGGTACAATGTTTGTGTCAAAGAAGAGGACCAAGGGAGAGCAGGACCCGCGAGGCGAAAACCTGTCCTGATGGACACAATGGAAGGACATTCGTGGCCATACAAAAACAAACAAACAATTCAGTCGGCCAACAGGAGCAGTAGCAGCAGCAGCACACCTTTCCTTTTGGGCTGCAGGTTTGAGGTTAGTCCTGTTTCTGCTTCTGCTTCTGTTTCTGTTCCTGTTTCTGTTTCTGTTGTTGCCTGTTGTGTCCTGACAAACGGATGTGCACATGCAGCGGATATATTGATTGTCAAAGAGTACATATGCACTCGTGTGAGTGTGTGTATCGGACAGCCAACTTTTGACCAATACACAAAAAGAAATATAAAGAAAAATTAAGTTTTTAACTTTACGGGTTCTTAAATATATATCGATAAAAAAAAAAAATTAAATCCTGATGACCAAAACTAAAAAACATGATTTAAATATCGATATATGGGCTAAATAAATGCTTAGCTTGCATTAGAAAAATATCGAACAAACCGAAAAAATATCATAATTAAATTTTAAATTAATGGAATAATGGATACCAATATTTTCTAATATATATGTAATATATTGATAATGATATATTGATATAATGAAGTAATGAAGTAACAAGTATCGAAAAATTATCAAAATAAAGTATCGATATATTGATATAAATAAGATCACAATGCTTTGTTATAATATCGAAATTATCTAAGTCTTTGCCTCACTGTTATCGATATATTATTCAATTGCAAAAATTATATCGGAAGTTTACCGAATTTATTTAAAAAAAAAATTATGAAAATAAAAATATCGATATTTCAACATATAAATATATTAATTGAGACTTTATTAGATGATAACTTTTATATAGTTCATTAATTTAATCATTTCTTTTATATATAATTTATTATTTTGATAAATTAATTGATTTCAAGTCTTAAACTTCTTTATTTTCTGTGTACTATCATTTCGACCACCACAATTTTAAAACACGGCGGGGTCACTAGCTGTCTATGGGTTTTATTTTGATATTATTAGAGCGAACAAAGACCGACTTTGGTTGAATTCAGCTATAACCCAGCAGGGAGGAAAAGCTGAAAAGTCGACCGATAAATATTTTGCGTGGTCAGCGGACTGTGTTGCAGAGACTCAATTAGGCAAAGGTTAACACAGCAACTGACAAAACTTTCACGTTTTGTTTTATGAAAAAAAGAAAATATATATATATAACAATTGTTTTTAACTGGCTTTTACCTGGTCTTTCTGAGCCTAATTGGTGTCTGTTTTAAGCATATTTTTAGTTGCTGCTGCTGCTGCTGTTGCTGCTCTCATTCATTTATTGTAATCCCCGACTAAGCTGGGGGTTTCAGTGAATTTATTTTGTATACTTTATATACCCGGTGGCAGCAGCAGCAGCAGCAGCTCTCTCTTATTTGATTTTGGTTTGCAACAAATTAGTTGAGTTTTTTTTTCTTTGTTACTAAATTCCCCAAGGGTAAAAAGAGGCAGGAGGGGGATAAAGTCCCTCTGCTCCACCCTGATCCTTGTCCTAACCCTACTCTTTATCCATGCTCCCAGGACAATCCTTTCTGTGGGCCATAATAAAATTTACAATGTTATCCCAAAAGTGTTGTCGGGTTTTTTTGTCATTTCATTTCATTTTCAGTTTTTTCTTTTATTCCCGCCCCCTTTTTTTGTCTCTTTTCCTCTACATTTTCATTTTCAGTTTCAGTATATTATTTTTTTTTTTCGGCCAGCTGTCCCAACTATGTGGGCGGACAATGGTCCTTGCGGCATGTCCTGGCTGCCAGGATGTCGGGTAAAATATATATATATATATAGCAAGCGTGGGATGCTGTCCCTTGGCATGTCATAATTCGCATATTAATGTTGTTCATTAAAGTTATATAAATTATGAATCACATTACACGACCATATGAGACACAGTCCTTTAACAGGGAGAGAGAGAAGAGAAGAGGAGAGGATAGGGTCCTGCCCAAGTATCCTTCTTAATTTTCAAGGGGACTCTCATTTAGATTATCATTTGGATTTTTATTTGGCTTTCTGCTAGTGAAGATTACTCTTATCGAATATGTTTAATTTATTTCTATTTTTATGAACTATTTTAATTGAATAATTTAAGTGGAAAGCAGTGAAGGATTCATTTCCGACCCTATAAATCATATATATTCTTAATTAGTATCAACAGCCCAATCGATTTAGACATCTCAAGGAGAAAAAAAATTTTTTTAATTTTTTCAAACATTTTTCATCGCTAAAATTGTTTTAAAAAATGACAAAAATTCGAAATTTTTTACATTTGAAAATGAGTATACAGATTTATTAAAATAATAAAAACTAACATAGGAAAGCTTTCCGAACTGAAATTAGTTGGTTTTTGGCAGAGTTAAGAGATTTTTAAAATTTTATTTTGGTTAAAAAAAATTGTCGTTATTAGAATTACATTTTTTAATAGTAACACTTATTGAAGTAAGAAATACTTCTTCTTTTTCTACTTCTTTTAATGCAATTTAAAATTCTCAAGTTCAATATTTTCTTTCTTTTAAAAACAAGTTTGCCTGCTTCCCCTAATTAATTTAATACTTCAAGTTCCAGAATTAATTTATTGCATTAACTTTCACCAGTGTTTTCCCTCAACTGTTGCAATCGTGTTCTTTTTCCCCCTTAACTCTTCCCCACATCAATTTTTTTCTTCCTCCAACTCCCTTGTGCAAACATATTGATTGGCCTCCAACCGCTTTTCCAAACGCTTTTCCACCCGCACTTGGCGTTGACCAACAAAAGAAAAGGCAACAGAAAAAAAAGGAAGAAAATAAAATGGCAACTTTTTTTCCTTCGACACTTTTCCTCAACGAAGATGTGAAATATATGTCATTCATTTATGCATGCAACATTCTGCACTTGAAGAGGATGGAGGAGGAGGACTGGTGTTGGTGTTGTTGTGGGGTTGGAAAAACAGCCCCCATTTTCTCCACCGATTTGATGATTGATTCGATTTGCTTTGCTTCTGGAAAGATGCTAACAAAATGA